TAGTTTTAGGGAATATTATTTGGGATAAAATAGGCAAGATGCGTTTCATAGCTTGCTTGTCCAGCTGTTTGCCAGACGGCTTTTCCGGTTGTTTTGACCGAAGCCACTTTACCAAGTGCTTAACTTTCTAGCCATCCCGAGCCGTTCCCTTCTTTTCTTTGATGGAATAGTCAGCTCAGTGACTTTACCGATAGTGGCAGTTGACAGAGTCAAGTCGCTCCGAAATGTCATTAGTGTATGTTGAGCATCACCACCTAATCCCGAACTCCTAGATAAAGTGCCTTATGAACTAGAGAACTGTGATGGGTTTTTGATTTCTTCGGTTTGTGAGATTAAAATATAAATTTACAAATATTTTTCAAAAACTTTTCAATTTTCAGTTTTACTGCAGGGGTTGTGATATTGATGCTCCGGTACAAGACTGTGATAATCAGAGCAGCGGTGATACACCACTGTTAGCGTGTATTCGTTCTGGCTTTTACGATGTTGCACGATGCTTGGTTGAGCGTGGCGCTAGACTCGATAAACAGGTACCATTCTGATAGTGTCAAGCTCTATCGCTGTTGAGGAGGGAGAAAAACGCTCCAAATTATTTACGGTTTAATCCTAAATTTATAATTCTCACATATCTTCGATATATTTAGTTTTGTTTTTTTTTTCAATAATTTATATTCGTTACATTTTGTTGACATTGAAAAGGCCTTTTTATCATAATGCTATGATTAGCTGTGTACCTTTTTTTGCGACTGATTTGACTGGCTGCTCATCTGGCTTTCTCTGTTTTGCAACTTTCTCATCCACATAATTCCACACAGCCGTTCTGACTGATTTATCCACTTCATAGGCTGCCTTTTCACTGTGTCTAACATTACGTGTTGCATACCAGTGGTCCAGTTTGTCCATCTGTTGTCTCTCATTCTCGCCACTAATGAAGCCCAGCTTTTCTGAATGATATCAAGTTTTCCAGATTGCGAAAGGGGTATTTTATTAGAAATATACTAAAACTACTATGCATCGAACTAAGTTATTTCCG